ATCAGGATGATGACCTCAGCTTGTTAAAAAACTGATTGCCAATTCGTTTGATGCCATTAATACAGACCTAAGTGATAACTAGCGTCGTTATTTATCCATAAAATTATACATGCTTGAAAGAACCAGAAACCGTCAGAAGCTACCTTAAAAAAAATTCATGGGTTGTTAACGGTGACGATCCAATGGTCTCCCTTAATGATTTACCTCCTCTTGACTGTTATGTCAATCAGTTTCTTTTCTTCTATTCTACTTTCCAGTGGGATGGATGTCGTGGGAGAGATTTCGTTGCGTCACAGACTGTGAAAATGATCCTCGAAACTGCATCAGGTAGAAGACAAAACAAAAATTTGCTGCTGGGCAAGTTATTCGACTTTCTGTACACGACACAGCATCTAACAGTCTTATTATTTTGACAGCGAGAGGCTGTACATGGAAATGGCTGATGCGATGGCATACGGCGGATACAGAGATGCTGGATATAAGTACGTCTGTATCGATGTAAGTGTTCGTTGTGTGACGTCATAAAATTCAAAATGGCGTCGTTACAAAATGGCGTCGTGCTCACACTTTCTAATATCAAAATACTTTTTACATGTTTTCCACATGTTTTAAAGTAAGAGTTAAACTGCAAAACTTTGTCCATTATTTCAACATGCAGAAAATTGTTTGAGGCGTGAAGGTTTACTTAAACATATTTTGTACTGTTTTTAATCAGTATCTGGATGAAATATTTTACAAATTAGGATTGCTGGTCAGCAATGAGCAGAACAAAAGACGGTCGCCTCCAGGCGGATCCCAAACGATTTCCAAGTGGAATAAAAAAGCTGGCAGACTACGTACGTATCACAAAGCATTTTGTGCTGAACGTTTAGTTACCTTATTCCAAATAACTTCTGCAAATAGACAGCTAGCCTATGAGCTGGCTCCAACCTCGTCCCATGAGCCGCCATGTTGAAATTGTCGAGGAGACGACGGTTGGACGAGGTTGAGTTTAGGGAGCGCATGCGCGAGCTTCCGCACCCAAATTGCTTCTCATCGCGATATCGCTTCGCTCGCGGACATCGCTCATCGCCGCTCGCGCGTGACTCAAAGGCGTGCCTGCTCGCAGGCCGATAGAGCACAGACGGCTGAACACAAAGAAATGTGTATCATTAATTTTTGCAGGTTCATTCCAGGGGGCTCAAACTTGGAATCTATGCAGGTAAATACATACCATTCTTGAAATATAATTAAGCCGGTCACTTCGTGATTAACTCTTTTAAAAGTCTTGTGCGAGTACGGGAGGCGACCGAGCGGTCCGGGTTCGAGGCCTGGCCGGGGACATCGTGTTGTGTTCTTGGACAAGACACTTTACTCCAACAGTGCCTCTCTCCACCCAGGTGTAAATGTGCCAGTGACTTTAGAGCCGCGGTGACCCTGCCATGAATTAGTATCCCATCCAGTTGGGAGTAGCAATATTCCCAGTCACTGATGGGCCACTAGACTCCAACCCAGCTTTTTTACTCGAGAAATGAGATGGGGCTGGTCTATTTAGTGATACTAAGAGAGGCTTTCACTAACGTTTCGCACGTTCATTTATGCATATTGCAGATTATGGAACCAAGACATGTGCAGGGTACCCAGGCAGTATCAAGCATATAAAGAAAGATGCACAGGTCTCTCAAAATTACCACAATGCTTATATTTTACGGGCTGCGTACATGACCTCGCAATTCACCTTGCCTGCTCTTATAATAATCTGCGAACATTTCCTATTAAAAAATGTTGCCATCTACTTTAACGTTACTATTTTTAACGATAACTAAATTTAGCGATGCCGTGAAAAATTGCTGAGCTATTTGCTAAATTTAAAATATTAAACTTCGCTTAGAACCTTACGTTAAGTCGAGATAGCGCCAAAATCAATCTAAAACACGAAGATTAAATTGCCAAATTTGACAGCCGATTAAACCTGCGGAAAATTAGATGGCTAAATTTAGTCAGTCTTTGCTTAATAACAATAGTAAGGTATTTGAACAATCATCCAAAAAATGGTAATCGTATAACTGAATTACCCATGTAATTCTTCGTCCCATATTACAGCCAGATTCTTCTATTTTCCAGACATTTGCAGATTGGGGAGTAGACTACCTAAAGTTGGACGGTTGCTATGCAAACCCACTAAAGATGGACAAAGGATATCCAAAATTTTCCCGAGCGCTGAACGAGACGGGTCACCCTATCATGTTCTCATGTAGCTGGCCCGCGTATCAAGTCTATATGAATATCACGGTGAGTATTAGGATATTTTACCAAGTCAGTCAAATACATACGTCCTGTCATTCTAACGTAAAGACTTCTGAACCATCGTGTGAATATTGCTTCTTTGCTTTGTTGCTTGTAAATAAGCCAATGTTTCTACTGTAAATGAGACCATTAGAGCAATAGGCCATCTTCGAGTTGCCTTTTGCCTCCGTGTCAAAACGGGTAGTCGTTGGAACCCGTTCATATAAAAATTTGTTTCGCCTACAGGGTCATACATTTGCAAGCAGATCCAACTCATTTTCATGTGAAAGGTTTTGAACGAGAACTCGTTTGAAACAGAGACAGAAGCGTAAGGTAACTTGGTAATGGACTTATTTAAAGACAATGGTTTTGCAGCCTGTACCTTTCACCATTCCCCAGCCCGCTTAATCAAACCAGGCTGCATAGTTTATCATTCAAATTTCTAGCTTCTCCACTTTAGCCAGACTACAAGAAAATTGCACAACATTGCAACTTATGGCGAAATTACGGTGATATTCAGGTAGGGAGACATTTTTTACGTTTTTGACACTTGTGCCTGGCATCCACTATCAAAAGAGAATTTTCATCCTCTCTTGATACTGCGCTTCCCTACTGTTAACTATGCTGGGATAGACTAACCTAAAATGGGTTTAAACGCAGAGTTGAAAGGAACCCTGAAAGAAGGCGAATTTAATAGGTTGCTTCTCCTCAACTTTTGCTATTCAAATCCTTGAATGTTTCCAACATTAAAAATGCTGGAAAAAAATATACTAAGCCGTGAGTCGCAAGTCTATATATAACTAATAGCGCTATGCTTTTGGAAATCGTATAGCTTCCTTAGGGGATAACAATCATTGAAGGACCCTTTGCTAGCCAAAGAGACAGCGATACCACTCTTCAGTTTGGAAATTCTACTTCTCATTAAAGTCGTTTTACATTTTTTTTTCCATTGAAGGATTCATTCCAAAGTGTTGTGAACATTTTCAACTGGTATGGTAACATGCAGGATGACTTAATACCAGCAGCAGGCAAAGGACACTGGAATGATCCTGATATGGTCAGTGGACTCTCGAGAGAGAGTATGCTCTGTTCCTTTATCTTTCCGACAAAAGCAAAGTTTATTAAGTTAATAATAATAATAATAATAATAATNATAATATATATCTATAAAAAACTAACTACTTTAAAAGATACGCTGAAATGTTTAAAAAATTAAAAAGCTTAAAAAGGTAATAGCGTTCTCATAAAAATTGGATATCGAATTGGAAATGTTCTAAAAAAAACAACCTAAGAAAAGAAATCGGAGATAGCGGAGATAGTTGGGAAGATTGAACTAAAATTGGAAGATCCACAATGCATAGTTTATACAGATAACTTACTCAGTTCTTCAGTAGAACCCTCCCTGCTTTAGTAAATTAAATAGCCAGTTATAATTACACTGAGAATGAGACTAATAAGAAAACAAGAACTTTAAAAAAAGTAAATAACGTTAATTCTCAGCAGGCACTATATATTATTAAAGAACCTTTTTAAGTTAACCTGGAAAATCTAGGTTCTTATAGATCAGAGGTGGTGGCGGAGCGTTTTGAAACATCGTTAAACCAAGCGTATACCTCTACTCGTATTTTCCAAAATGTCTTTTGCGTTGTTCGTTTGCACAAACAAACTTCTTTTCGATGTCTACAGTGTTCAGTGTGTCCGTAATAGACTTATGACAATGCAGAAGGAGGCAGTTGTTTAGACGATCCCGCTTTATGGTGTTTCCAATATAGGTTTTTAGTCTTCCTAAGGCAGAAAATGTGCCCTCGGAAGTCGCCGCTGCCACAAGTAATGCCAAATACAATCTTAACAGTTTGTGGACCTCACCTAGTAGCGTTTTGCTGACAGGAATTTTGTTGAGAGCTTCGCAAATGGTTGTTATATTTGCAACCTGGCGTACTTCGGGCAAATCACGAAACGGAATACCTTACCCAATCAATTTTATGCTGCGCTAGTGACATTTTCGACACCGAGATATTGAGTGGGGGGGAGGGACTGAACCCCAAAATTTTCGTTGAAGGGGAACTACAGCGCCCCCCGCCGCCTCCCCTGCTCCGCAGCCCATGTAGATGACTGGGGTTTTTTTTTTACAGTATATATTGATAATCGCTGACAAGAGAGAAAATTGTCTCAGACTCCATTGTACCACATTATTTCTGGCAGTGAAAACAAAGTGAAGGATAATCATGCATATTGTTCGAATTCTTTCAGCTGATCATTGGTAACTTTGGTTTGAGTTATGAGCAGTCCAAATTGCAGTTTGCTCTGTGGGCAATAATGGCATCTGTAAGTATTCGACA